TAGCGTGTCATCAGGATTCGGCGGCATCGATGTGTCAGTGCAACGCGCTCTGGCGGTGTTGCAGCGCTCTTGAGTCATATCATGTGATTTATTTTGTGATATATAGTCGGATAATCGGATGCTTATTTACCTACAATCCGGTTGCTAAATACCGCAAGCCATCGACGATTGACGAAGGAAAGTAAACGTTTAAGATGTTACTAAATTAACTTATACTTCGTCAAAAAAAAAATTCGTGTGATTTAATGTTTTATAGAAGCCAATAAAATGTCAACTGTCAATTTGACACTTGGTCTTATAACATTTATAGTGAGTCAAAACCTCGTGTAATTAAAATGTAAAAAATGAAACATTTCGGTGTACCGGGTTTTAAAAGAAAAAATATATTTTCAGAAACCGGTTCATATCGTCGTTGTTTTATAGAAAGGGCGAAAGCGTCATTTCGAAAAATCATCTCAGGGAGCGTGTTGTAGTTTTTCATGACTGTTTTTTTCAAATATTTAAAATTATTTACGTCCTGTTTTAAATATAATTTTAAAACTTAAACTTAATCAAAATCAAAATAAATTTTTAAAACCGGACATGAATATTTTGTAAACGGTCGTCAAAACCTAAAACATGCACCCGTGAAAAAATTTCAATATGGCGCTTTCGCCCTTTCAAAACATCGAGGATATTTCAAAAGCAATTCACTTTGGGTATAAAGCATTCGAATATCCGACGACTAGTCATACACAGCAATCTCAGGGCGCTGCAGCACCCCCACCAGCTCCCAACGGACACCGAAGCCACTAACGTGTCGGCTGCTACGGCACGTGCAGGAAGATCGTTACCTGGTAAACTTGGCTTGGCGCGCGGGTTGCCACGCATGGCGCTGGGCGTGCGGCGGCCACGCGCGGCGCGGCGCGCACCACCACGGGCCCCAGCCGCGCCCGCGCAGCCCCGCCGCGCCCAGCGCGCCCCCGGCCCCCCCCCCCGCCCCCCCCCCCCGCCCCGCCCCCCAGACCCCGCCCCCCGTAATCACGTACACCATCTCAACCTCCAATCTACCAATACCGCAGTCAGAGCCACGCTTTGTTGAGCTCGCTAGAGGCACTCGTCTGTCGGAAGTGAAATCGTATTACATCGGTAATTGCCGGTTTACATTATACATTCGTAATAGTTCCACCACCCATATTATGTAATGGGGATTTAAGTAGGTACTATCGAAATCCTAGTGGAACCAAGAGTAGTGTCCTCGTTTTAGAAGTACTAAGACACATTTTAAACATGGAGAAAGTAATCCGGCCATTATTGACAGCACTGCACAGTCTCTCTAGTTTTCAACTGTAGCGTTTATTCCAATTACAATACGTCGACGTTATAATTACGGGACGTAGCGTGTCGCTTTATATCTACATTGTGTTTTGTACCTATATTTACACGCTACGTCCCCTTCTCGTGAATTGAGTGTTAAACGTTATGTTCACCCACAGCTAATCAACTTGGAAGTTGAACTTAACGTTTAAATAAATAAAAAAAATAAAAATAATTACGTCAGACCGTATACCCGGTTTTTTAAAGAGCGGGCTCGTTCTGATTAACAAAGCGGACATTCTGGAAAGTACCAATATAATTAAAATACTATTTTTCCATCCATGTATCGCACCCGTCAATAATAAAGTGACGAAACTCTTATTCAGGGGTGCATGTTTTGGGTTTTAACGATTGTTTTAAAACATGTACGTCCCGTTTCAAAATTCAATTTTTGTTTTAATAAAGTTCAGTTTTTAAATTGAATTTAAAACAGGACGTAATTATTTTAAAATAGTCGCGAAAAACTAAAACGCTTGTTTGAAAAAAAATTCAAAATAGCGGTTTTGCCCTTTCTACAAAGCACCGACAATACGAAACAATAGCTTTGTTATTATTTTTTATTTATTTTGTCGGGTTTGCCAATAATATCATTGTTTTTAATTACGTCATTTTGTTACAGAGGGTACAATTTTATGTACTATCTAACACAACGTAAGTTATTTAAGTTTTTCTCAAAATGCCTGCTTGCTACAAATTACACCTACAGCTACGAATAATAAAACTAAAAAATAATTTAAACTACAGTTGTATTTCTTAAAACGAAGTATGTACCGAGCTTATGTATAAAGCATAAAGTAGTTAAGCGGACAATAGCACATCGTTAATTCTTTCATCAGTTTTGGAGTCTGTAATGGCGTTTGTGATGAGTTATTGTCGCTAAACTCGTCAAATCATGCTGCAAATAAAATCGCATTGCTTTCAAAAGAATTAATAGTTAACATGTTGTCCTAACAGGCATCAAATGTATTCATGTAAAAGTAAATATCTAGAAACAACCAGGTACCTAAACAGAATTTCGAATGCATTCCATAACTAATCATTCCTTCGTACTCTACGACAACAATAATAGATCTAAGATCTAGTTCTATGCAGCTAACACCGATACGACATCTAAGCAGAAAAGTACTCAAGTCGAAAGATAAAATTTGTGGTCGGTACCTGAATGCCTCCGGTTAGATCGTAGTAAAGCGAGTTGGGCCCGAGACCGAGCTCGTCGTCCTGAGTGAGGTATTTACCAAGCGGGTCAGTAAGTCTTCTTAACATATTCTCTACCTCGTTGCAACAACGAGAAATACATTTATTGGAACATTCCAAGTAAGCGTCGGGATCGTCTCTCACCTAAGGGGTGCGAGGGTGGCGAAGCTCCGAGCGGATTAGCGGATTAGTAGAAAAGCGAAGCGAAGCACTACATGAGGGTGGGAAGCGGGGTGAATGTTAGGCGAGGCAACGGAAACAACGGGTCGCGCGGGAGACGGGCGCCGGGCGCTGCCTAGACCTGAGGGTGAGACGCCCGCTCGCGCCGACGCCACCGCCGCCGCCCGCAGGGCCCCCGCCGGGGCCGCGTAGCATCGCACCGTCAGGCCTACACACTACCGCCTTTACCGAGTCACTAACTCCATTCGAGGGCAGGATTAATTCAACAAAACATATGAAAATTTGGCAACTCAAAAATCGAAAGGTAATGAGTACAGCGACTAGTGACTAGTAATAAGAGTGATAAATTAGTGAGTGTGTGTGGGACCCACCGGTTGCGCTCTGTTGGGAGGTTGGCGGACGGCGGACGGTTGCGGTGGCCCCGCGTAATCAAAATAGAACTCATCGTACCGGTAAAATGGCTCATTGTAGCCACCTCGGTAATCACCGTACCCGAAATAGTCGTAATCATAATCTATAAACACACAACACAGGCCTTTTAGAGGCTAAGCTAGACTAACGCTAACTTACAAGCTACCATACAGGGGTAAGGCTAGCGACTGCGAGCCTCCACGACACTCGTACCGGGACAGCACGCATGCTCACGCATCCGGACACACGGTCACCTCCACCACCGCTGCTGCTGAGTGCGCACTCCGTGATCAAGCATCGTGTTACATGGGTCGACACACCAAAACAACATGCATCCTGCGCCGGTAACCGCTGCTCTCGTCTTCGGTCACGTCTCAGTTTGTAACATGCTGTTTTTTCGTGTCACTTTTACGACGGGACAAGTGGAGTTGAATTTTGATATTTTGCAGTTACACAGTTTCTCCCACCACCGTTCAAAGCTTTGTGAAACATATATTCCAGAATGTTTGCGTCTAAGTTCCAACTGAGTTACACTGTCATGCATTTGGTTTGTTAATATTGTTATTAACATGAATCTCGACTGTGGTGGCCTAACTTTGCATCAACAATATTGGTGTACCGTCGTCGAGTGGGAACCATGCATCGGCCCTAGACCTAGCACTCATTAATCTAGCCTGGAAAATAGCGTTAATGATACATGTACTTGGGGCCTCGACTGTACGCATTTGGTCACTTACGCGAATAGTAACAAGGTGAATGTAATATTAGGGTATTCCAAAAAGGACATAATAATTTTGTATTTAAAAAAAACACTGAAAAATTGAGATTTACAACTGAAATTAATTCCAAGTGCAGTGCACGTGATACGAACGGAATTCGATCTCGTTCATATGACCACCGCAAGTACATTCGCTGCCGAAATGTTCCGGCCGAATGGCCACCTCATGCTCATGCGATTTAACGCCGTTGGATTACATTTTAGTGGGTTACATTAAGTCGTTGTTTTATGCCAACAAGCCAACAATGTTAAATGACCTCAGGAACAATGTCATACGCGAAATTGACAACGTTTCGGGCGTGTGTAAGAATGGTGGAAAATTGGCTCCAAAGAAATATGGACGCTGCAAACGTGCTGTCGGTGGTCATATGAACGAGATCAAAATCCATTCTTAAATGTAACATGTGTACTGCAATGTGTACTGGAATTTCAGCTCGATATCTCAATTATTCTGCGTTTTATTGAAATACGAAATTATTATGTCCCTAATGTCCTATCCTATGTCCCGATATTTTACATGATCTTTTTGTCTTCTGTGTGAAATATAACTTATCAAATTCTTAATCATACAGGACATTCTGAAATCGTTAAAGATGTGTTTCTTAAAGCACAGTTATCTTAAGTACGTACAGTCGAGTCCAGAGTTGTTAGTAAGGATCAGTAGCGGAGTGTGCGAGTGTGCGCGTGGAGACCACACCGTGTTCACTTCCATCGTGGCATAGAGCCAGGGGACGGAAATGCGTCTCAACATATTTAAATCAAAAGCATCACTTCCTTCACCTGTCTCAATAAACATTTATAGTGCTAAGTGTGAGACGGCCTTGCGCTCCATTGACTCTTGTTGAATGGCATATATTTGGCTGTAGTCAATTCGAGCTAGCACCTCGCACACTATGTACAACTTATATTTTAAAATACAAAATACTGACATGTGATAGAATTCCTTACAATAAATAATTAAAAAGTATTCTTTAGAGCCAATAATGAATTTCCAAAGAATTTTATAGAATTATGCCATCCTAGTAACAACAGTCGTTGCAACTTACTTGAAATTGATCTATCCAAGTTAATAACTAAGGTCCGTATTAATAAAGAGCATATACATCTCAAGCATCGGCGTCTTAAATATACCATCTCAAGTGGCAAGACCCTGCACTGCCATGAACTTAATAAAGTTCTTTGAGTTGTAGTGCTGAGTCACGTTTATAATGATCGGGAATTCTCAAATGATACGCAATCAAAGAACCGGACGAGTCGCTCGCTTGTGCCGGCCGCTTACTTTGCGTTGGATTTCTTTGCGTTACGTGCTTTTGATATCTAGCATGTTTGATATTTCCACGCAAGCAACAGGGAACGTTTGCGGAGCACAGCACCACTGGCCAATCACAGAGCAGCAGCGTCCACGCGTCCAATAAAACCAAAACAAAGACAAGGCGTCGCGCATGCGCGCAAGTCGCTCCGCAACGCAAATCGGAAGACTCGTGAAGGCCTTTGCGCGGAAGGCAGATTTCTACGCCATGACCCGGCCAATGCAAGCAAGCGAAAAACGCAAGTGAAAGACTCGTACACCCGGCATTAAAGGGATTTTTGAGCTTTGAACAATATCGACAGTTGAAATATGAGGAATATTTAGTCGTAATGGAAAATATCCCTTACTACAAAATGTCGCTCCGACATTTCAAAATTCGATACACATTGCGAATTTTAGCAGCGATGGAAACGCGATTGCGATTGTATCAATGCAGTGGCGCGTTTGCATCGATGCAATCGCCTATAAATATAAAGTCGCCGTGTGTAACCTCTCTTATATCGACGGTGGAAATTTGAAATGTCCCAATAGACATTTCGTCGTAAGGTCATTTTCCCTTGCGATAAAATGTCCCATACGACATTTCATGTTTCCACCATCGATATGTTGAGTAGTGACAATGACATTCTGACCAAACCAGTCGGAAGGGATATACAGTTGATGTACACTCAAGTGACATTAAGTGATAGGCTGGCGTGGTATGGACATAACATGCGGAGGGAAGGACGTCATGTGACTGAAGGAGTGTTATGTATTAGTGTGGAGGGATATAAGAGGAGAGAAAGGCTAAAGAAGAGATGGATGGATTGTGTGAAAGATGACATGGATAAGAAAGGTGTGAGTATGGTAATGACGGCTGATAGGGGAAGTGGAAGAAAAATACACGTTATGCCGACCGATAAGGAAGAATAAGAAGATTCAAGTGACATATTAATAGATGCGAGTATTAATACGGGCCGTAGTAGTTGAAGACACAATCAAGTTTTAAGTAGCTGAAGGGTTACAAAACAACTAGTGTTGCTACCGAGATTACATAAGCGTAATTTTTATCGATTTTCAAATGTCTAATTTGAACTCAATGCGTATTTGAAATGAAGATCATAATTAAGACAAGTAACCCAATATGATACTGTATTTTATTGAATTCCAATTAGACACTGAAATTGGATTTTTTAAGTGTTGACGAATACTGTCACTGTCAGTTTAATAACATTGTGATTGTGTACGAGTGTCCTTCAGAGGGGGTAACATAGTAGAGAGCTTTCTCTTGTGTATCTGGGTTTTGCTACTGGTAGGACAAACATTTTGTCAAACTTAAAATTAATTTGTACTTTGTCGAGTAAAGCCACACGTTGGCACCTCGCATTGATCTCGTATAAAAAAAGCGAAGAGTCAATATATGGTCGCACATCGATGTGTAACCGTGTGTAGAGAGAAAAACCCTGTCATTGTCACTTGCATTTCAATGATTGGCACGTACATTTTACTTAACGCGTCAATAATGAAATCAGTGGTGTGGCTGTAATTTTAGTTATTGGCACAATGTACCAGTTAAATATTTTCCATCACACTTGCAAGTAAATACTATGATTACTTGCAGGCTGACTTGACTATAATTCCTCAAATAAACCCTGGGGCCTTGGTCACAGCCATGGTCGGTAATGAGAAGAAAAAAGGCCCGAGAGTTTTATTTGGGGCATTATAGTCAAGTTAGCCTGCATGTAATCATAGTATTTACTTGCAAGTGTGATGAAAAACATTGTATGTTTCGCGAGCGGTACGCGAATAACGAACGTTGACTTCGGACTTCTACTAGAATCTCGTTCGTAATTCCTTTACTGCCCTTTCATTTTTCAAATTTCAGTTGTTGGCACATACCTCGATGTCAATAATTAAAACTGTGGCAACTTTTGGCTAGTTCGCCATGTTGTATGTATGTGTGGTGTGTGGTGTTAGAGGTGTAGCGTGTGGGTACTGACCGTAGTCGCCGCGCGCCTGCGGCGGGCGCGGCGGGGGCTGCGGCGTGCGGCCGCGCAGCGCGCCGTGCACGGGCGAGCAGCTGCACCAATCAAATCTGACATTACACACAACACGAGGTTATGCAATCGACCTAACTACATACACAACCCGACTCTGGGGAATCGTAATGACCACATTTTCCATAACACAATCACGTCAGTGTTACCCAATAACTGACGTGTACCCTCATTTTTGGAAGAACATGCTGAAATCCTGAAGGTACTGAAATAATTAAATTATTGCAATTTTTAATTTCACCTTTAAAAGAGTACAAATAAATTTCAAATTATTTTCCTTCGTCATTGTACATTCCCCAGCTCAAGCTATATACAAAAAAACTAACAAGCAGCCTCAAAATAGATACTTAGACTAATAAAAATAAAAATTTATAAATATTTTTTGTCCCGACAAATCGTGCTAAAAACTATTAATAAAACTAAAACGTAAGTAACAAAAATAAGTAATGTTTCAAATTACTGCTACAGGTAACAAACAACCTCTAGCGGCGACTAGTGGAACCAACAAAGAATATAAAAGAAGGAATCTCCCAGCTATACAAATGCGTATCGTCGGGAATAGTGGAATTACGCGTAACTAACATTGGATTGTGTTTTCATTTGGGTAATTTAGTGTCCAAATCCGCGTAAATGTTGTGGCAACCAAATTAATGTGAATTACGGGAATCTATTGTTACCCGTCCGTAAACGACATAAATTAATGATTACTGTAAATGTAATGAAAGTCGTAGCCATTGAAATAAAGTAATAACGTTAAACCTCTCTCATGTCAAATGTGTTACTGCAGGTACGCGCCTTTTCCCAATGCTATATCAAAACTTTGCAATAACGTCTCGTTTTACGAAGGTTACACATTGAAAAACAAATTTGGGGAAAATATTAGTTCCACTAAACGACACTAGATGGTATTAGTGTAACTGTTTACGATGGAAATAAAGATTCTAAACATTCAAGGAGTGAAAATGAAAGAGTAATAAGTTTACATAAAAAGCATATTTTCGATCCTTTCATACTAAGTATACTTTCTGTTGCAGCGGTAAACGAGAATAGACTTGTAATTGAAAAAATAATTTTGTTTTATATACAGAATAGAAAGAATATTTAACTAATTATAAAACAAGTAATACACAGTAGATAGCGATTAAAAAGAATAGGCAGAAGATTAAAACAAAAGTTACATTTCTCCATTAGTTTGGGAAACACAATTATTTCACAAAATTTCGACTTTCAAATAAATGCAATTGAAATTTCAACGACGCATATTTCTTATGCATACCATGGTCATCACACGTTAATTTTTTACCTTAATTTGCATTTTACATAAACAATTTTGTCGCGGTTAATAATAGGTATTAAGTAATTTTCTGCGAAAATTCCAGACACCGCAGGATAACGACGATTTGAAAAAGAATTTTTTTTCAGGCCCTTTATAGGTCCCATGGTCACAAAATGTTTTGTTAATAATCTCAGTATAGAGTACTAAAAAACCCGACCTCAAAAGTCATTCATTCCCTAGTTTGCCACCCTTAGAGGTGGAATATTTTCTTTAATTTAAATGGGACCAATATTGAGGTAAAAAAGAATCATCAAAATCGGTCCACAAATGCCTGAGTTATCGCGTAACAGACATTTAAAAAAATACAGTCGGATTGTGAGCCTCCTCCTTTTTTTGAAGTCTGTTAAAAAAGAAACAAATATACGCGATTTAAATCCGAAAAAAAGTTTCATTTCCTATGTGTAATAATCACAAAAACCTAAACCGATTAAAATAGATAATTTGACTTACTTGTTCACAAAAAAAAAACTCTTCTAACTACACTACCATAGTAAAACAATTGCTAGTTGCACAACAATATGGAATAAACTATAATACAATTAAACCTTGAAACCTTCCGTTCTCCGGCCGACATCCGTCCAAATTAAGTGTCGTATTCCAGAACTCTACTCAATGCTCAAGTCAGGATTTGAGCAGACTTGAGTATGATTTCAAGCACTGGAAATACGACCCTAAGGGCAAGGACTTGAGTATGATTTCGAGTGCTTTAAACCATACTCAAATCCTGACTTGAGCATTGAGTAGAGTTCTAGAATACGACCCTAAAAGACGCAATTTGCGAACGAAGCTTCATACTTGATACTGTCTTTTGATTTAATCGAGTGTTATTTATTTGACATAAAATTGTTTCGGAAAAAAAAATTGTTTCGGACGCATGTCAGATGGAAAACGGGAGTGGACTTCCTGAGACGTATCCAAACGTAACAAATCGTCGCCTTAATTTCTCAAACTCGTATCTTAAAGCACAAAGCATCGAGTATATAACCAGAAATAGAGACGAAATAAGGGCCATATATTCCTATTAATTCATCAGTGATACATCACCATTGACTTACAAATAAATGGACGACGGGTCTAATACAAAAACCACGAAAAAAATGTCCCAAGTCAACCTATTTAAATTGTTATGTCATCGCAGTATCGCGCTGTCCGTAGAACAAATGAAGACTAAAGCGGAGTGTCGCGCTCTGTATACGATTTTAGCGCCTTACAAGTGCGGACACTTTTTAGCGCGGACCCGACGTCCATATAATTGTAAGTCAATGTACATCACTTATAATTATCAACTCTCGTTTGCACTGAAATATAGACAGCGCCAACAACTGACCTGTGTGTACGTCTCCGTGTATTCCAAAGATGTTCTGTATTTATTGTAATAAAGATAATATCTCTAACAATGGCGTGCTGTTCCATTCGGTGGTGTGGGAAAGAACAGCAAACCATCTAATTACAAAACAAATGGAATCAAATTTCATCGGTAATTAAATATTAAATATGTAATTTTGCAATTTTCGTCCATTATAGTTTGCTATAATCACAAACAGTTAAATTGAGCTTTGGCTCAAGTTAACTCAACTAGTCGATTTGAAGTGAAACAATTGACGACATCCGTCAATTGTTTCGAATTCGGGCTGGCCAATCGGAGCGCAAATGTCACAGCAATAATATGGCAGAATAGTTTTTAAAGTAATTAAATGACATTTCGTCTCTATTCTGGTTATATACTCGATGGCACAAACTGAAATGCAAAAAATGCGTTGTCAATACGAATTTGCAAGCTGATTTCACATCACATTTCCTTCATATTCACGCACTGGCCTTTTACCTATTCTTAAAGTAATGCGTCCAAATTAACACTATAAGATATATAAGATACGTGTTTGAGAAAGAAAGACATCGAAATGTCAATCTCTATAAATCGCAAAGATTTTTCGTTATGTATAGTTTGGGTCAGTATCATAATGACTATCTTCAAAATGACCTGATCAGCATAAGGACTAGGTCGCAAAACGACCACCTCTGCAGAAAGACTAGAGCGTACAATGACTTGGTAGCAAAACGACTAGATATCGAAATGACCATTTCGTTAAATAGACCACGTGGTAAAACGACAATGTACAGTTTAGTTGAAAATTTCTTGTTCAAAAATACTAATGAAAATAAAGTTCAATGTGGAACAAACTTCACTTTATTGCTTGCTGTATTCGAATATTCCACATGCGATTCCAGGTAAAAACCACATTGTAGATGTTATGAATAAGAGGATTAATTAGAGGATTAAGGGGTAAGGTCGGCCGTAAACAAATAAAAATTACGAATTATAAAAATTTTATTATTTTTTTAAATGACACTAAATTTTAATCAAACTGTACTTTGGAAAAACAAAATCTAGTTATTTTGCTACCTTGTCGTTTTACCATGTGGTCCATTTAACGAAGCGATCTTTTCGATATCTAGTCGTTTTGCTACCAAGTCATTGTAAATTATAGTCTTTCTGCAGAGGTGGTCGTTTTGCGATCTAGTCCTTATACTGAGCAGGTCATTTTGATGATATAGTCATTATGATACGACCCTTATAGTATAATTTAGTTAAATAAATCAGCATGGATATTTATAGGATAATCATCACGATAATTATCAAAGACAATAAATATCTTGATAATCTCGAACCCTCCCTTTATAAGTTATGCACCTGTAGAAATCATTTTCACTGCGAGTTTTTGTAGAGTGACTTCACGTAGAGAAAGGGATACAACACTCACCCGCCACGGCCATGTATCATTTGCATCATACGTCTCTCTCTAGCGCGAAGGATCTCTTCTTTCTTCTTCTTGTCAGAAGGCGGCTTGGCGAGCGACACCTCCAGTTTGGCGCCACCCATTTCTTTTCCATCCAGTTCTTGCATTGCCTGAAACAGTCATGTGTTTTTGTTGGCGTGCACGAAAGTGGTATATATTACAGAAACAGTTGATTTGTTATAATACGAGTATAGTAATTAAGAAATAATCCGGCAAGTGTTATTAGCAACACCAACAAATTATAACCGAGCTATGGCAACACAAAATTTAAAACAGTTCAGTGGGACGGGACATAATTTTTTTTTTTAATTTCGTACACTTCTGTACGCTTACATGGAAAGTACTAGAATCCAAATAAATACCCACTAATTTTTATTTACCTAAAACCCTCGATTAATGGACTCTTGAAGATTAATTTAGTAGTAGTAGTAGAGCTGTTTGTGAAAGAGTTAGTCCAGGGAAGTACAGCCGCCTTACCCATTTCTCCCTATTAAGCAGTAATGTGACCATTCTGTGTTCCGGTTTTGAAGGGTAAGGGTGCTGGTGAAATTACAGACACGTGGGACTTATCAACTTATGTCTCAGGGCGTCAGACGGAGATGCAGTGCCCATAAGATCTTTGCGGATTTAAAGTTCTGAGTGGCACTGCAACTGTTATGGACAGGCGTGTAACTTACCATAAGGCGCACGACTTGTTCGTCCCGTCACTTGATATTACAAAAAAATGACTCGCAGTCGAAACCCACAACCCACTACTGATATTTTTTCTACACATACATCTCCACTTATCAAACACCTTACTGTTTAACATTCGGATTCGTATACGATGTCATTATCTAACAGCGTTTACGGAGTTAGTCGGTCAAATAGATTATAAGAAAAATGAAATCCTTTTATATACCTACATTTTTAAGACTTTAAATGACTAAAATGTAGGAATGCATTAGTCTCGCATTAAAATAAATTAATACAATTTAACAAAATCCAGATTTAATTTAAAATAATAAAAGATTTTCATATTACATTCTTGCTTTGTAAACAATAGGACGTTCGGTAACTTTCATTCGATAACTGTGTTCTGAATAACGTCTGTAGCCTTTGCCGGTCGAGAAGTTCGAGTAATCGTACGGGTGTGACGTCATTGCGGTTCGGTTTCGAATACGACAGTTTGACGTTCGATTCGGTTATTGTGAATAAAAATTAAAAGAAATCGTACAATATCTAATCGAATCGGTCGTTTAAGTAGTTTATTATAAGTTCTTTTATTTCGCGACACACACATCCGTCACTCATCTCGGCTCCACTGCTCATTGAAAACCAGTGCCACAGTCAATCATGGCTGTGGCTTTATGCTGAATAACGTCCTTTTGCGTACGCCACAACCGCGCAAATGACAGTACCTACAAAATTGTAGTCAAAATTAGCTTTTTTCTTTCTTCTTTCAGTCTTACTTTGTTTTTTTTTTGTATGTATGTGTTGTGAAGTTGCAATAAATGTCTATTCAAATAGTACTTTATCTAAATCACATTTTATGTAATGGATGATAATAAAAAATATGTCAAAATTAAGCGTCAAAAAGAGGTTATCCTTCTTTCGTTTTTGACACTGACGTACAAAAGCGGTTGTTTCATACCTTGACAGCACAGTCCCGGTCCTCAAAGTGCACGAAGGCGTAGTCCTTGATCTTCTTGACGCGCTCCACGGTGCCGTAGCGCTCGAACTGCTCCTTCAACGCCTCCTCGGTGATCTCTTGTGTTAGATTCCGTACATACAGCACTTTCACCTGCAAAATCAAATCACAATATTTTCTTTTCCTTTTTTTCTTTTTTTTAACGCACACACTCACAGCCCCGCACTGGGGGTTCACTTGTTGTTGTTGTGTTTCGTTTATGTGTGCCCATGGCACCAGTGACACAGGGTTTCCCTGTGTGACGGGAACGGTTGTCCCACAAATTACATCCAAACTCAGAGATATAAATATAGGTCGTATAAATATTTCTTCCGGCTCCAGAATCCAACCCGGGATCGCTGCGTGGCAATCCAGCATCGTAACTGTTCGGCCACAGAGGCAGTCAAGTTTATTTGCTTTCATAAGTTTCTCACAGGCGGTGTTAATGGCAAAACAAGCCGTTTAAACCAAATACTAAGTTCTACAAGAAGCACATAGACAAATTCGTAAGCTCAAGAGCGGTGGCTCCGGTGTAGCAACAATTGTTCTAGTTCAGTCTGATCCAAGAACATTTTCTGTGTTGTTCGAGCTTAGTTAAAATGGTGGCTCTTCACATGGCTATTTGAATTAGCTATTGGGTAATTGTTGTATTTGGAAAAATATTTCACGTACAGATAAACATGTAGTCATTGACAAATATGACTGTCTACACTTGAAGAAAAATAAGAAATTAAAATAATAAATATAACCAGAGTGTTTCCTTGCGTATTTGGCTATGGCTCCTTTGATGTGCGCCTAAAACCCGGCCAGCGCGCAGTACCGCGAGTTTGCTGTTTGCTGCATTTGTCGAATAAGCAAACAAGGCAAATACTTTGTCACACATGCTATCTACACATGGTGAATGTTTGCAGAATATATCAAAATTATGGTAGCAAAAACATCAAGATATTCAATAAAGAATATTTTATTATTTTCATCTGTAAGAGCGGTTACACTCGGCGATTTTTAGCAGCGATGCAAACGAGGCAGTAGCGACGCTGTCGGTAATCGTCTACCTTTACACACGCGCGTGATTTTAGGCAGCGATGCAAAAGCGATGCAAGCGCGCTACTGCATTGATACAATCGCGTTTGTATCGGTTGCAGTAGCGCATTTGCATCGATGCAATCGCTTATAAATCGTAAGTGTAGCGCTACAATCGCGGATTTCACGAACGCGTAACCACGCGTGTGTTACCACTCTTACATACATATACGACACAAGTACAGGCGCACCGCGTTACTTTTTTGTTCTCTGCTACCGCTTAACTAAGTCGGTTCCTGAGATAGCTGCGCGGTGCGGGAGGAGTGACAGTTTACGTAAGTTATGTCGCGGTGCGCACGGGATAATTTCAACAAGATTTTTCTGACTATATTCAATAGCAATTCGATTAAAAAAGTGCCCACCAAATTAGTCAATGATTTAATTGAGAATTCAAGTGAATAGATATTTGGAACTTTTTTCAATCAACTTGTCACGAGCGGTCTGTATCTACACATGTATGTATCTTCGGTCTGTATCTACACATGTATGTATCTCAGTATTCTCAGTATTCTGTTGGTGTCCTTGTAGAGGTTTATCATTATTTGTCGTATCAGGAACTGTTTACGGCAGCTTGATAGGTGTATGTTAACAAACAATTCTCCACATCATTTTATGTTCCTTTTTTATAAAACATAGAAAAAATATTTTTTTTTTACCTTTAAACAGTATAAACTCGCTTCGAGAATTATGATGGGAGTGACGACGGAACGAAACCAAGTAAGTGCGCGTTCCCATTACGTCGTAACGTTTTATTTACCGTTAGACGACTGTCGCGTTTAGCCTGTTCCCATATCACGACTATCTGTCGTGACTGTGTCGTGTACGTTTATTTTATCGTTGAACGACTGTCGTGTCTGGCTGTTCCTACTAGATCGTGACGACAATATATCGGTTCACGGCAGCCGCCTCGTCGTTCACACGACAGACTGTCATCACATTTTAATCGTGAAGTTTTATTTATCGTCAGACGACTGCCGTTCTAGCTCTTTCCATTGTCACGACAGTCTGTTGACGTAATGTCAAAAAATCGTGAACGCCAGTTAATCGTGTCGTTCTATGTGTGAACAACTAATAAATACTATAGGTAAAAGCCTCGACACTTTAAACTGAACGATTATCTGTCGTCACAACATAATGATAAGAATGACGAAGAAAAAGAATTACAGTTCAAAAGTAAGTTTTCAAACGATTCAAAATTTCTAAAGTAAGTGGCCAGAAACCAGAGAAAACGGTGATGATGAATGAAGGTGAAAAGTTCACAAACTTGTTATTGAATATCGTCAGGAAAAATCTTGTCTACTTCAGGAACCGACTCAGTTAAGCGGTAGGCCTGTAAACAAATCAATCGACTCTTACTTTAGCGGGGCCAGTATTATCATGGATGTTGAAACGTTCTTATATTACCAATATAGCTCAATATAAACAGGCTTTTTTTAGACAAACGCATAACACGTCGTTATCGTCGATATCACATTGTCGCTTAACATCAAGTGAGATTGTGGGAAGGAAGCCTTTGTCTGTGTATTTGTCAGTCTTTAGAATCATTACTCCAAAATAGATGGACTGATTTCATAGCGGTTTTTAATTATTTGGAAGCTTTTATTTTATAACAACTTTGGAATAAAATGTCACGCCGTTTTCTTGTAGCATCGATAAACAAAGCATTTTTTGTTCTGGCCTCTTGGTATTTCTATTATTTTAACTATTGACTTACAAATAAATGGACGACGGGTCTAATACAAAAACCACGAAAAAAATGTCCCAAGTCAACCTCTTTAAACGTAGTGACATGTAAAGGAATATGAAAAAGCTAAAACGTTGAATTTAAATTGTAATGTCATCGCAGTACTGTCTAATTTTGCTTGCCTCGCTGTCAGTCGAACAAACGAAGACTAAAGCGTGAATGACGCTCTGTATACGACTTTAACGCCCTATAAGTTCGGACACTTTTTAGCGTGGACCCGACGTCCATATAATTGTAAGTCAATGATTTTAACAGACTTTAAAAAAAAGGAGAAGTTTCTCAATTAGATTTTTTTATGTATGTTACGCGTTTACGCGATTTGTGAAAAGATTTTATCTTTTTTTTTTTTTTGTTGTTGGACAGATGGTATCTCAGTATCGGTCCCATTTAAATATGAAGAAAATAATCCACCTTTAAGGGTGGCAAACTAGGGAACGAATCCGGTTTCGCGCACTTTCCGGTAACCGATGACAATAAAACTTGGCAAATAGATGTAATTCTACGGTTTTTTGAGGTCGGTTTTTTTACTACTCGGTACCGAGATTATTTCAACTTGAATAAAAATCGCACCAGGGTTAGTTTTTGTGGCATACGTGTGTTCAATTTCCTGTGCCAACCCTGTGCCGCGTATTCACAGCTTCAAAAAGTACTTCTGAGGTTTGGTCATTTCTTCAGATTCTGGGAAAAGTTCTCGCAAACATGACCATGCACTGAAGTCTTTCCGTGGGAATAATTCAAATTGGCACACATCCTTACTAATTGCATTTCTTGTGTTGTGGTAGTTACTTTCAACTTTTTGGCCTGTTAAAATGGTAGTAACAACTACATTGCTCTGAGATAGAGCAGTATTGCAATGGCGTTCTAAATGTTTTAGTTTTTTATATTTCTTTACATGTCACTACGTGTGTATAGGTTAACTCCGGAAATTTTTGTTTAGTTTTTATATTAGACCCCTCGTCCACTTATTGGTAGGTCAATGTGGTCATGAAGCCCTCTCAATCAGGACCCGAATGAAAGATTTCATAGTGGGTAGCCCATATATACCAGGTATGATCTTTAAAATGGTGTTCGCACTGGCCCTCAGTCTGCTGAGCAATGATGCTGTTCTTTTGATAATGGCATTGAAACCATCATCATATTGGATGTGAATTATCATAATTCAATCCAAAATATATCACTGAAGTGTATAATTGTAAGATTTACTCACTTTACTCATAGTCTGCTCGTCCGGCTCCTCTTGAGGGTCGGCCCAATCCACTATAATATCACAGCCCCATACCTGCTGGTCAAATCACGGTATCAACAGCATTAGTATACCAATTTATATCCACTTGGTAACAATGAATGCAAAATAAAAATCCAGCAGAAGAAAAGGTCTGCTCCAGATGATAATTATGTCATTGACAGCAGTTCTGCAGCCTCTAAAATGACAGAATCTGCCCCACAAATCAGGAAGTCATCGAGTATATAAAAGAAATAGAGACGAAATGCCAATTTAATTTGATAACTATTCTGCCAAATCATTACGGTGACAATTGTGCCCCGATTGGCCAGCTCGAATTCGAAACAATTGACGGGTGTCGTCAATTCAATTAACTTCAAGTCGACCAGTTTAACTTGAGCTTTGCTATAATGGAAGAAAATTGAAAAATTACGGTTTTAATATTTAATTACCGATGAAATGTGATTCCGTTTGTTTTGTGATTAGATGTTTTGCTGTTTTTCCAACACCACCGAATGGAACAGCCCTCATTGTTAGAGATATTGTCTTTATTACAATAAATACTGAATTTTTTGGAATATACGGAGACGTACACATAGGTCAGTTGTTGGCGCTGTACTATTTCAGCTTTCTAATTTGTGATTTCAGCGCAAACGAGAGTTGATATTTAATAGTAATATAAGATCCACTTGCCTGATGAGTTGCCATGGATGGATGGCCCTTATTCCCTTACTCCCGTCTCTATTTCTGGTTATATACTCTATGGAGGACGACTCGATAAGGTACAAAGATAGTTTAAGCCAAGTACAAAATTGCAGTCGCGCAGAAAACGGGCATGACCACGTTTCTTATGCCTGTGATCCTTTATTTGCAATCGCTGTCAGTATACGTACCTTTATTCTACCAGTGCCCAGTCTACGTTTAGCTAGTGATGCGGCTTTGTGAGACTCGTATTCCAAAAAACAAAACCCTCTATTTTTCTTCTTGTCATCGGGCGAACTATATATAATAACTTCCATGAGGCCAGCTGCAATCATACGACAACAATCAGCGGCGAGCGCCTCATGCACACATTTAAGCGTTCATGTAAAGCTCCCAGGTCCCCGTCATTCCTTTACGACTACAAAATATGAAGCAAATCAAACGATATTTCAGGAGTACACATACTGGAGTCAAATCTTTTCTCCGTCATTTTGAACTGCATTCTAATTCGTAGATCGTTGGGTTAAAATTTTGTTTGCTACTTTTAAACACACCGGCGGCGGCGCGGGTCGAAGTGGGGAGAGAAAAGATAGTCACAAATTGGCCAATCTGCAGATAATGTGCTTCAACATTGCGATTTAGTTTAAACCTGTAAGCGTAAAGATCTGGATTTCAAAAGCGTTCGGCAAGAGTCGCACATTGTCTGCAAATCTCCATGATGCAATGCCAATTATAGTAAGAATCTCGCTAATGAACAACAAACAAAGCGAAGAGGGAAGTCCCATACAACAGATCTGAGAGGGTGATAACATCGAGTCGTAACATAAAATAGTGAACAGCGAAGTCGCGACAGGTCGCGTCACTTCGCCCCGAGCCGCGCCCAACCACTGAATAGCACTTATGTATTATGAATTCGACAAGGACTTACGTGCGTGCCTAGTAAACTCCTCAAACAAATCGTCCCGATCTCGATTCTTAGGGATATTCCCCACGAATAAACGATGATTGTTAAAGGAAACCGTAACGCCAATCTTTTTCCCCTTTCGAATTTCATAATCATTCAGCTGCAAGAACAATTCGAGGAGAATAGCCAACGGCCGGGCCGGTCGCGCAGCGGCGGCCGCGCCCGGCGCGAGGCTGGTCGGCGCGGGACGGACTCTCGGACGCGGGAAGCAAGCGGGAGCAAGCGGGGCACCCAGCGGTCCACACCAAGCACCTCCCCACGCATCAACCCACAACTAACTCTTTAACATTCGAGTGACACTTTACCTGTTAATTTACCAAACTCTTCCAGTATCTCCTCTTTGCCTTTAGACTTGGGAATGTTGCCGACGAAAAGTCGCAGATTTGGTACGCTAATCTTAATTCTCAGAGTCTTCCCTGGTTTTATTTCGTAATTATCGAGCTGTGGGAAAAACATAAAAGGGAAAAATTTTGAAAAAAAGAGGAATCAATTTTGATTGGGTTCCTGATGATGAATTTTGTACAGACGTGGCGAACGCGGGCTGGTGGACTGAACTGACACCGCGGCCGTTGCAGCTCGGTCAAGGCGTGACGATGATGACGGTTAGAGCCAATCGTGATGAGTTAACTGTACTGTAGTTTGATGATAAGCCGATAGTGTTGTATTGAGCAAAGAGGAGAGCCTGAGATGTATTAATTCTCAGTTCGGAGAACTTTTTCGAAGCCAATTGGAAAGTTAACCCTGTAAGTGGACCGTTTGATGGAGTGAAAATAAAAGAAGCGAGTACAGTGTGATGGTAACAAAAAAAATGAAAAGCAACTTAAAATTGAACGAGGTGCAACAGTAAGAACGGGATGATGTCTCAGGACAAGCGAGGCTAGATCATTATAGGTGTTATCATTGCACATTTACACAAATTCGGTGATTATAATGGAAAGGCGGTCGCTTGAATTCATTGCTGCAAAACGGTGCCTTTTGTTCATAGATATCACAGATACCAATCAAGTACTTCCATATAAGGCCGGGTCGACGACAGGTGTTCCAACAAGAATGCAAGTGACCGCTTTTAGTGGGGGATATTAATATCATGCTTTTGTAAATGATATAAAAAGCTTAAATCTAAGTCTCCCAAGTGTGACTGTGATATATCGACAGGCAAATGATTAGACTTGCAAAAATACTGGCTGATGGAACTAGTAATCTTGCAAGTGGCGCCTAAGTTTACCGACTTCACAGCAGAACAACACTTTCGAAAGAAAGTTTTAACGAAAAGTCAGCATGGAGAGATAAAGTTTTTTATTACGAAGTTCATAACTTTGTGATTATAAATTAACAGTAATTAGCAAATTACGAACGTGTTGTTCAGGGGGCTTTCCATACAAAGCATACAAAATACTAAAGAAAGAATCTTTTATACGTTTTCGAAGTAAATAACAAGGTATGCTAAGTTGTGTATAGTTTTATGTGGAAAACCAAAGGAAATTCTACACAAACATGAAGCCAGTAAACGTGCGGCAACTAAGTGCTGTGATATCTTTTAAGGGAATATACTTAAAAACATCGACGAGACACCTGAAATTAGATTTCAAATTAGAATTTTGTATCAAATTCATATCGCACCAATCATACAAGTCAAATTAAAGATAAGGAGATTTTTGACACAATTTGGTGTGACCAATTAAATAGACAGTCGGTAACGGACTAATTTTTTACGATAACACTCAGTGCTGGATAATTCTATCGACAGATGTGCTCACATCCATTTACCTAATTGACGAACATTGACATCTTTGAAGTATCCTTTAGGTGGACATATTATCGAAAGAAAAACACATCTTTTTTTAAATTTAGAAACAAGTATGACGCCAATGTTCGTGGTATTTGCAATAGAGCGGCAAATGTCTTCACTGTGGAACCAATATTCAATTAAGAAACATTTTAATGGGGAACATAGTTTTGCCGAAACTCACCACTCTCTTGCACTAATGACACCCATTCACGCTTCCATTGAACGACATTCATTACATGAAAGGACTGCGCTACGTTAACTCAAAAGGTTATCTACCACAAACTCGAATTTATTTTTCCGAAATAACGTTTGTTCGAACTTTTATTACCCCGAAAACCGAATTATAACGAAACCATTATAATTCGGTTTTCGTTGTTCTTTCAGGATGTGTTGGATGTTTATCGCAAAGACACGATTATTTGCGGTTAGGTTAGGTTAAGTTACATTTAAAATAAGAAACATTTTGCTCTCAAAATTACTTTCGAGGTTATGAAAATTCAAGCAAACGTTACTTCTGGAAAATGTCATTTCGGACTTCTGATAGGCAACCACTCAAAATTATCTATAGTCCGAAACAACCTACCCACAAAGGGAAAAATAAAATATTGAAGAATCAACGGAGCGCAGTGAAGGTATCGCATTAGGCAACTTATACGAATGAACATTGAGGCGGCGTTACTACTGACCTCCTGTACGGCACGTTGCGTCGCCTCACGAGAGGTGAAGGTCACGAAGGCGTAGCCGCGGTTGGTGCCGGTCATCGGGTCCATCATGAGGCGAAGGTCCCAGATGGACCCGCACTTCTCGAACAGAGGAATTAGCTCGTCCTCGTACATGTCCTTGGGAATCTTGCCGCAGAACACCTCGCAGCCGGCGCCCGGTGTACCGCCCTCCCACCCTGGAGGCGGCCCACCGTACTTACGTTGGCCTGTAATTGAGGAACAAAACACACTAATCACAAAGACTGCTTCCACGATTAAGTAATGTTGCGTAATTGTTGAAAAAACGGATTTTTTCATAAGAATTTGCGGATCCTTTTTTCTGATTTTTTTCTATATACATATATACAAATTTCTCCATGATCCAACACAATCCATTTGATACGACACGACATCGAGTACATAACTAGAAATAGAGACGAAATGTCATTTAATTTATTTGGAAACTATTCTGCCAAATCATTACTGTGACGACTGCACTCCGATTGGCCAGCCCGAATTCGCAACTATTGACGGGTGTCGTCTTCACTTCAATACGACCAGTTTAACTTAGACCTTGCTATAATGGACGAAAATTGAAAAATTACATATTTAATTACCGATGAAATGTGATTCCGTTTGTTTTGTAATTACCTAGATGTTTTACTGTTTTTCCCACACCACCGAATGGAACAGCCCTCATTGTTAGAGGTTACCTTTATTACAATAAATACAGAATATTTTTGGAATATACGGAGACATACAAACAGGTCAGTTGTTGGCGCTGTAACTATTTCAATTTTCCAATTTGTGATTTCAGTGAGAGTTGGCATTTAAAAGTGATATAAGGCCCATTTACCTGTGAGATGGCCCTTATTTCGTCTCTATTTCTGGTTATATGCTCGATGCAACAGGACAACTTCTTAAAGACCATTTTAGAGGGAAAAATCGAAGGGTAGAGGGGAAGACCTAGGCGCAGCTAGATAGACCAAATAAAGAAAGGGCCGGTGTCATATAAGGAGGTCAAGGAGCTGGCTTATATAAGAGATAATTGGAAGACGCTCCACCGACATGAGTGTAACTCTAAGAGTATGCTTAGTCGGCATAGCGTCTGGTACGGTTTGCTAGAAGACGTCGGTTCGAATCCGGCCGGATCGAAGGAATTTTTTCTTCGATCTTTTTATTAATAATTATAGCTAGTGGAGTAATTACACAAAAAATAATTAAATGTCATGATGGAGAAACATCATGACATTCAACAAAACACTTAATTACAGTGAATAGCGACATCTCTAGCCAGGGCGTGCCGCTATAAAGGTGCCTAACTGGGCGACGAAATACCTTCATAGATTTCTCATAGATGGCGCTGTCTCTAAAAAGTCATTAAAAACCAGATACAAAGAACCTACAACAAAAGTATAGCTTATATGTATAGCTCTTAAGTTCGATGATGATCATGATACCGAGGTCCCTAGAAGTCCCCATTAGCAAGGCGTTTTTTTCGAAGGTCTACCTACTTTAGACACAGCCAAAGGCTGTGATTGGTCGCTTTTATCAGCGTCCGTATCTGCCTTCGCGTCCATAAAGTACCAGATACCGTATAACATTGTACTAGCCTAGCTAAGTAAATAGGTACATATATAGGTAGCTGCCAATACGCGAATGAATTGAAAACCTATAAGCGCAATCACTGATAAGAGATTCTTTGAAAGGCGCAGTTTACACACGAAACAATTCTCATGTTGGACTTTTTATTATCCTCCTTACAAGAAGTTAAATAAATGGCTGGTAAACTCTTGCGCATACATTTTATACCCGCCGTAAACGTTACGTTTTACGATCCTGTAAACCTGGTTAACAAGTTATTACCCTCCAAAATTTCATACAGGTAGCGAGGCAGCCAAAATCAGTATTAAAATCTGTACTTAGCTAACAATAAATTAATCACCGTAATGAATGCAATAAATATACTACTTGAGTATTGTGAAAGTCTAAGCGAAATAAGACATGTGTAATTGTCTTGCATACATGTATATACAAATAAAAGCCATCATATCCAGTTTTACCCATAATTGTGTATATAACATATCTATTTCACGTCCTTTTCCCGTAGGAGTAAACAGAGACCACAGCCGTAATAATAGTAATGTGCGATAACAATTGTACATGAAAGGTCACAATGTGCAATAATGCAATAAAATATAAAAAAGTATTTTAAACATATTATTCCGGGGTTCTCGTCGACAGTTGGGTGATGACTTGAGTCCAATTTATTAAGGATCTGATTCGCGATGTTCATGTAACGTTGAGCAGGGTCACTAACCTGTGGTGACGTCTAACGTGTAGCCGGTCCTGGCCAGGATCTGTTTGATCTTCTCCTCGTCGGGGCCCTTGACCTGGACAGCGGAGGACAGAGCGGGCGCGCCCTGAACGCCCGCTCTGCTTTTCTGTCTGGAAACCAACAGAAATCATATTTGAGTGCCGATGGAAATGTACAAATAAGATCCAAGTGCCGAAAACATTTTATTTTTTGTTATTTTATTTATTACAATATTGTAAACTTTAAATTATTTACCATGAAATTTGTAAGAAAAAAGTGGCATTATCAACGCTAACAAAACGAAGAAGCCATTTAAAGAGAGATGGTAATGAGATTCATATCAATAGTCGCAATGAATGAGCGTCGTTATTCCATCACGAGAGGACTTTGGACTTTGAGCAAAACGAACAAAAAAGTAATATGGTAATGTTCCAAATGAAGATGTTCCACAGTGCGGTACTATCAGATTTGAAGCAAAAGATTCAAAGTATTCCGTCATTTTAAAACTGCACGCCACGACATCTAACGTATTCCCATGCCGTCGAAGGCTATGCGCAATTTTGCATTTGCATCGTGCAAACAGGTTTTTGTCGCGGCGGGGTAATGACCACGCGTAATCTAATCTCGGCGCAAACATAGGGCGTAAGTAAATGACAACCGCACGCGAAAACGTGGAAGCTTAGAACTGATCGGGTATTATTGATTTGCTCTTCGATGTAAGTATTCACATTGCGGCTGTTTGCTGTCGGTTATTTCAACTTAACAACAAGGTCAAACTGGTTTGGAGAAACTTAAGCCGAACACCCGTCTCCAAGAGCAGACAGTAAATTAAAAGCACGTTGTTTAAAGCACTTTGCAGTTTCTGCATTTGTGTATTTTTGGACGTGATATTATTGGCATCCGTCACACGAGGTATGTAAGATATTTCGAACAAAGAGAATGAGTCATTGTCACCAGTTTCATAGTGTTCACTTATATGCAATTATCGTGATCCTTCAGCAAGTTACTTGAATCGTTGTAGTTTAGTGGACATTTTGGCAAAAAGGAGGACGGTGTATCAATCTGACTATCTAATTCGCTGGTGGCAACGCTGCGATAACGTGTCAAATCAATTTTACGAGATTATAATGACCCAGATACCGCCCGTTTGGCAATCATCCAATATTATCTTCAGGTTGCCAAGTGGAAACGTAAGTGCAACCGACTAGGCCTTTATGTGTGATAGACATAACTTACACATTACAAACAATTCCTTTATTGTAACCAATGCAAGTCTTTTAAGGAATAAAAGACGAGTAGGAATCCTAAGCGCCCAGACACACGAGAAGAAAGTTTTCGCGCGACCGCCACGCGGTCGAAGAGCGGAGTCCGCGGCGGCGGTCGCGCGGTCGAAGAGCGGACTCCGCTCGACGACCGCGTAGACAAAAGACAAGCTAGTGCCTTCCAGATAAAAGGTAAATAAATAGAGCGTATTTTGCCATGACAGTTCGGTCTCTGAACACGTGCACGCAGTCGCTGGGCGGCGGCCGCCGCAGCCTCCGCTCTTTGACCGCGCGGGGTGAGCGCGAGGAAATTCGTGTCGTATAAACGCGCCCTAAGACTCCCTTAGTAATTTTTTAGGGATTCTAGAGCAAGTATTCTGAATTATATTACAGTGGCTTAACAATAGGGTTCAACCTAAAATTCCGGAGATGGTTCAGACTAGCGTTATTTTACTGAAAAGGCACTATGCAAGTTTACAATTATACAACGACCAACTTAAACCTTCGATGATTTTTACGGCACCTAAATCCCAATTCTGCTAATTTTTAACCGACTTCAAAAAAGGAGGAGTTTCGACTGTGTTTTTTTTGTACGTATATTACGCGATAACTCCGGTATTTGTGAACCGATTTTCATGATTCTTTTTTTGTTGGAAAGAGGGTACTTCCATAGTGATCCCATTTCATTTTGAAGGAAATCATCCACCTCTAAGGGTGGCTGAGCACGCATGAACATTCATTTTTATAAATAGCGCCAAAATTTTACTTAAGGAGCAATTATTTTAATTGATGGTTTTGCTATTCTCCAATTCAAGGTGTTTTTCTCTCTCAATGTAGTTTGAGTAGTGAGAACCGATTTATATTATTGTCTCCTGTGTCAAGTCCTGTATAGTGGCGAACCGTGTAGTGGTGACCCCTAAGTGGCGAACTAGGGGATATTGCAGTAAGACTTGGCAAAAATAGATTTAATACCACGTACTTTTGAGGTCGGTTTTTTTAGTACTCTGTACTGAGATTATAGTGAAACCATTGATCATTGTAATTCATCGAGTATATTGCAATTATGATAATGTATTTGTTGTTCTGCTATAATCTCGTTGCAAAAGCAGTTGAGTCTCAATACAGTAACAAACCGGAGTCGCACTAAGCTATCTGACGTGTGACGTATCATTGCGCAAAGAAAGTGGCGTTAGACGGGTCACATAAGCCAAACCGATGACCGATGGACCAGAAGAGTGCTGGAGTGGAGACCGAGAACCGGTACCATAAGCGTCGACCGCCAGAAGGCTAGATGGACGAACGATATAGTCAAGGTAATCAAAAAGACCTGGATGCAAATGGCCCGAGACCGAAGAGAATGGCGTGTAAATGAGAAGGCCTACACTCAACAGTGGGTGACTAAAAGGCTGAAGAAGAAGTGTGTCAGTAAAATGGCATTCATTCAATCAATCACAAAAAATCTTGTCTCTCGATGTTGCCTTACTAAAACTACCATGTAAATAAATTACTATGCATATCTGTCATATTAGCAATTTAGTCTTTAAATTGAATGTGTTTTTAAAATAACTGATATACGCAGTCAAATAAACAAATAAGTAAAAACCTCCAAAAAAACGTCAATTACTAGCTACGTTATCGACGTTCTACTTGCCGTTGACACACAGAATACCAAAAACTTGCAATTGCAGTTGAATGGTAGCTCGATGGCTGCCACTGACACAACTTTAGCTGAATAGCAAACGTACAAAGTCCTGCCATTCAAATCAGTATCGACACACAACTAAGATGATTTAACATTAGCAGACTCGGGGGCTCTGTTAAAAACTGCAAAGTAATGGAGTATAGCAAACTTACCTATAGGTCTTCATGACTCCACATAAATAAGCACTTTTATTAGATACATGCTCGAGATTTGAATCTAAAAATTGTCCAAGAACACTTAAAGCACCGTCGGATGGAAATTCTTTTAAGGCATCTAGCGCGCGTTCGTCCAACTCAGCGTGCGCTAGCTTTCCAGTCTTATAAATGTCGTCCAACTTCGCGGCTACCTGCAATTCGGAAAGAAAACCATATATTAAAAACACGGTCGGGGTGCAGTAGCGAATTAATTTTTAGTTTAAGTATAATACCAATTAATAAGTACAATATGAGTTTTGATTGAAGAAAGATTTAAATCAAAGATTGGCAGTATGGCTTTTCGCACGCTGTAGCTTTGTCGTGAGGGACAAAAATTTACTACAACACCCAGTTTCACATGGAGTTGCTGGTTACGATAGGATTTTTAAAATAAGCTATGAACTTGGGTATAAATTCAAATGAAGGGCTGAAGAGCTTCTTCGTGTATTCGGCCTTCTGCAGCATTAAAACTACATAGCCGCCTAGGTGGCAGTTCTATTGGCATACAGCACACGGCTTTATTGCCCCAAAAAACAGGACTTAGATATAATAAACACTCTGTAGGACTGTCTGATGTTTTTTAACTTAACTCTCTTTTATTTTTGCTTTGTTCGATAATGAGCTCAATATTTCGCAGCTTTAAAATATTATTAAGTCGACTACAAAATGTGGCAATTAAAGATAATCTTCTATTTACAAATGGCGTATGGCGAATCATACGACTAAATCACCCGGCGCGGTATTAGTCCTAGATAGACATACGAACAAGTCATAACAAAACGCCGAAAAAGAAAAAGACACTGGAATTGCCGATTCGTCACCTTGATAATCTTGTAAAAAAAGACCTGGAGACTTAGAACGATAAAGAACTGTTTCAAGAACCGTTCAGTAAGGTGCAAAATAGGCGGTAAACTTTTTAATAGATAATATTCTGCAGTAAATATTGTTACGCTGATAATGACGAACACGTATTAAATTTTAGCTATGTGGTAACTTAGTAAAGAATGTTCCTTCAATGTTAATTTAAACTAATCTAAGTATATTGATTTTTTACCTTGTCTGAAAAAAAGACTCGTAAAAAATTAATATATTAAAGTAGTTTGGCTTGTGGATGTCGGTGAAATTATCAACGTAAAGATGACTAATAGACCGACCCAGTCTTATTGAACTAGTGAATCATTCTAATAAGAAAATATTCTTCCAATGGGCCACACCTAGACGTCCAAAGTTCGAATTGTCCGCCATGTGGTTCCCCTGTTACACTATCTTGTGCATGTCGGTGAAATTCAGTACCGTGCCGCCGGGGCGGTGTCTCCCTGTGACTTAGAAAGTCGATTTGATTGCCAACGCGCCTGCCATCTAGTTCCTCGTGAAGGAACCACGTCGAAATTGGGATTACTGCTATGAATAGATGTCGTGTGGTGTAAATAATTACGTTGATGTCTCCTCCAAAAGAGTAAGGTTGTTTATATAGATTCAAGTGACACCATTTATAGATATGGTTGTTTACATAGCAACTAGCCTGCCTATATAAACAAAGAATCACCTTTATTCTTTGCAGGTGCAGATAAAGAGTTGGAGGTCGCAAAACGTCAATATCGAAGCAAAACAAGCTACTTTAAAAACAGTGCTATCAGCACTAAACCCCAATAAAGTCGAAAATAAGACTTGATTCCAAAGTATAGACATGCTATGTCTCATAGTTACAATGAGTAATAAAATCGGGTCCCTTATAAAATTCGAGTACGACGTTTTACTTGCCTGCGTTAATAAATTCTTTCCAACATATTAATTTTAGTATTGAACATCGATTATAGTAACTACTAATCAAATTTATAGTCAACCTTATTCTGTTTATTTCCAGGTACCTTAATTAAGTTGTATAAATGTTTTAAGTTGTATTAATATTATACAAATTAAACTTTTTAAATTAACTTCGCGTAGTCATTTTGCGAATTAATTTGTATTATGAACGACTACTTTGACAGTTTAAAACACCAAATGTCTACAATTATTGTTTACAACAGATGTATAGTCTAGACACTAGACATAACAACAAAAGAACAATGGTGTACAGAAATGTAATGTTGTAACACCTTATAAGAGGTTACAACATCTTATAAGATATTACAAACTCTTATAAGTGTCTAGTTTGTTTTAACTTTTTCAACCTATTTAGGAGGCTATAAGAATACACATCTAAGGGTCGTATTCTAGAACTCTACTCAATACTCAAGTCAGGATTGCACTGGAAACACAAGCACTGGAAATACGATCCTAATGGCAGGGCCTTTTGATTTCTATTGCTTTGAATCATACTCAAATCCTGACTTGAGCTCGAGATTAGAGTTCTAGAATACGACCCTTTGTAACCCAAGTTATTCAGACAAATCAAACTTATATACTAGTATATTTAAATCACTGGCAGAGTTGAATAATGGTGTGTAGAAATGTAATAATTTAACAATAACATCTTATAAGACATTACAACATCTTATAAGATGCCACAAACTCTTATAGCTTTCTAGTTTGACTAAATTTTTTGTATTTATGTAAATGGCACCCATAGTTCTTCAGACAAATTTGATTAAACTCATCAAAATATATTTAACTTCATGTAAATGGCACCCACAGTTCTTCAGACAAATTTGATTAAACTCATCAAAATATATTTAACTTCTTGTAGGGTGTGGACAGCACATTCCATGGGCACAACTACACCTATGGAACCCTCACAAATTTGATAATTTATCAAATCTATATTACACTGATATTCTTGTTTATAAGACACTTAAGTTTTGAAGTGAGTCAAACAAAGTTGTATTTTATACTTAGTTGTTATAGTTCTAGTAATTTAATTTGTGGTGATAGAAAATATAAAATTTTTATAAATGTTACCCACATTTGAGTGTCTGGTGACTTGGGTGCACAGTACCTATGCATTCTACCATAAATACTGTCTTCTCAGATACCCTGTTATTTCATTATAAAAAATGTATATTAATTTTTTACTTCCTATACAATTCTTACACAGCAGGCAGCGGATAAGGTTTAACAGTGCAATGGAATAACTTGTTGAAGAAAACATTATTAATTACAACTAAGTACATACATAAATTATGTATTTAATAACCATTAATATAAGTGTTATATAGTCTGAACTTTTATGTAGGATTATTGTTACGTAGGATAATGTATACAACTTTTCTTCACATAAGATTCTTATTGGAACAAAATATAATTTTTGCTGTTTTACTTTCATTCCAATGAGATACTTAGGACACATTGATAATTCTGAGGTTAACAGCAATTGGCCCCTATTATGCCCCAATACATAATGTGCCTTTGTTTTCAGGCTGTACCAGTTTTTTTACTCCATTCGTGTTCTTAAGCTCCGAGCTGGCAGCAGTCAGCGGACAGCTCGGGATGTGTAAAACTAATTGGATATTACAGGCTTGGCTACTAATGCTACATACTGTAAATAGTTTTTATTCCACCATATGCATTTGACAGCACTGTAGAAACATGTGAATAAGGGAAAGTCGACTTGTCAAGTCAACCGGAATGAAAATAATTCAAATTCAATTTTTGTCATTTGAATCATGAGCATAAAGTGAAGTACAGAATCAGATTTTAGACTTTTTAAGCATGGTTATGATCGGAATAGCACTCACCTTTGCATCCAAGCCACATTCAATGAGTTTGTGGTAATCTGGTGTTCGGCCAACATCGGAGTCCTTCCCAGGTACCTCTTCAAGGGATATTTCTCCATTGCCCTCCGCCATTCTGCACAATCATCAGAACATGTACACGCACTGCACTTTACTTATATAACTTAGACTCACAGTTCATTAGGTACTTCTAAACAAACTTTTATTACAACTTTTGCTGCACTGAGAATTGTAATTGGTCCATGGCTCACCTACAGATGATGTCATCATCACAATTTCAAGAAAGCCACGCGTGTGACCGATGCCAACTAATATTTTTAAAGGCTTTGCAAATTTTGTAAATTATAAGAATAAATAAAACTGTGCAAATAGAATAATATTTACCTTATTTTGAATTTTTGTAATTTTGGAAGAAAATGATAACACTCTAATCGTCCGAAAAACAAAAAAACAAATGATGTTCAAACATATGAAAATGTGAAACAATGGGATTGTGCACTCCTCATTCCATCCGGGTGAAGGCGAAATTTCAAAAAGCGAATGCGCGGGTCATTGCATTCTTCTAGTGATGTGACTATTTTTTGAGCCTAAAAACCAAAAATCGTAATTATGTCAAAAAATTGAACAACTACATCTAACAATAAAAGAGTTGCGAATTCCGGCGGTCAATGACCGAAATAACACCGCAATGTAAACTGTGGCAGCTCTTTTAAAAATGTTTCACATATCACTTTTACCGATTATTCACTTTAAAACACATTTACAGTCCTTTTGTATCGAAATGTAACCACTAAAAACTTTCCGCGCATAAAACTTTGGTGAATGCAAAACTGCAATAAGTTGAGACTGCAACTGCATTGCACCCGATAAGAACCGGCCGGCGCGCGCCTCAATTTCCAGAAAGAATCCAATTGGAATGAGCACAGAGGATTAAAGAAGATAGATAACACTATAAGACACAATCACTGTACGAAAAAAATTAACGAGGAGCACTGTACACGAAAATAATTACCTATTAATTTTGCTAGTTGGTGGCCGAGACAGATATGGCGGCACCGCGCGACGTCAACGTGACCGCCAGTACGGGGTTCTCATAACGACGCGCGCGGGACATGCAACGAGGAGTGCATTCAAAGTTTTAAAAGGCACTTAATTTTATTACTAAGTTTTAAGAATCTCTCTGTTTATAAACCAATTGCGACCGCAGCGAAAGATGAGATATTTTTATTGCACAGAGAGTTTTTGCAATGATTGCGAATAATTTTGAATGTGAAAGAGCGCGGCGCGTCGCGCAAGGCTGCCGGCCGCGAGGTGAGACAGGCTAGCGGCAAGACGGCGACGAGCGAGAAGCCGAGAGTGAAGGGGGGAGGGTGTTGCAACTGGCGGTGCAGGCGTGCAGCAGCGACGCCGCACCGAGCTCGCTGCATACTTGCATATACACGCACACTGGCAAACGCTCTGACCTTCGTTACTCGTAATCGATTTACTGACAGAGTTTGCCTTTGTTATTACAATTAGTTTCTTTGGAATTTCTTAACACTCTTCTCTACATTACAAATTAGCAGTAATGTCGATAAAAACAATAAACTGTAAGAACCAGTCTCACAACATTTAAGTACATAAGAGACATAACTGACGCGTTATCAAGTTGGATTCTATTACCACTTTTAAATTTTATAGTGAGATTTAAAAACCAATAGAGAGATTTTTCTAATTCATATTCGCAAATATAAGACAAACATCAAAAATAATTACTTTAATATAACTTAAGTTTGACTCTGTTAAAACTCTCAAAATACATGTCTGTCCACCACAAAAGATCACACGGTTACTACACTAATCGACAACGTCCAATACTGGGACAAGGTTCATTACTCTTTGATATGGAAACGAAGGGATAAAAGAGTTAATCGCAATAACCCCTTGCTTTAAGTTCGCTTACACCTGCTGATCATCGAAGCCGTATGTATTCGCGACACATACACATATTCATGGCCTTCGTACTTCGTTTGTATGTGTACGTAAAGAGACTTGGATCTGTATCCGCCGTATTATGTTGATAGGTAGGTAGGGCGGCTACTGCGGGTGCCTCGTTTTGTAGTGTGGACGGACAAGGTTCCAACGCAGTCCTTTCACCGCCAATATGAATCTTAAATAAACCAGGTGTCGCGTTGAAAATCGCTTACCTATCCAAAACGGACTCTTCCTGCACAAAGAACTTTAGTACTAAGTGTTCTGTAGCGGCACGGCACAACAGACACACTTCCTTTCTCACATTTTCTTCATATCAATAGCGTTAAAGAACACCAGTAAAATGAACTCTCACAGAGTTTCCGGCGTTGGATAATGTCTAGAGAAAGATTATTTCACATGATTGGTTTTTATTCAGACTCATTTCAAAGAAAGTCAACAGCGATCGACCTTTTAATCATGAAACCTTGACGCTTTTGTTCGATTATAATAATTTATTATTGTAAATAAAACCGATAATCAATTATCTATCTCATGAAGTAAACATCACTAATTTGAAAATTTGACAGTTCTTTCCGAATGTCATTTCAATTATTATTTATTCAAATTTTTTGGCATCAATCTTCTGGCCAGAATTCAGATAAAACGGGATAAAAATAAATAGAATTAAAGAGGTGTGAAGGAATTCAAAATCAATTTACAAACTTTTTGTTCTTACGTGTTACACTGCACTAGTTTAGTGATATTTTCTACGGCACTACTCTTTTTATTTAAGTAGGTATCATTTTATAAAAAACAACTTTATTTATAAAAAAAACTGTATGAAAAATAAATAAAACTTACTCTAGACAATACAATTGAGTATATACATATTTCTACTCCTACTATAATCTTTCTTGCTAATCATGATTGTATTGTAGGTATATAGTAAGGCATAGACGTCGTTCAGCCAGAAAACTGAAAAGCACTTTGCCGAATTTTATTAACTGTACTACTAATGAAATTTCGACTCACCATAGCTCGGGCACAACTTGGTAATAGCTGGAATCATTTGCCATGGACACACACGTCTATAAATAACCATTTTGCAAACATACATAACATAACATGCTCTCCGCTCTCCGTAACGCGTACTACATTCACGATAAGGTACTTTGTACGTATTTTAAATACGTCAACAGTTCATTGACCCGCGGCGGTTTGCACCACGCGCGTCGCCGAATTTTTATTGTGTCTGTAGATTTGTAGGTCGCCGCACTAGATGACGTCGAAATTTGGGGGCCCACTGCCCAGACGCAGTGACGTCACGTTATCAAATTATACTAGCCGGTGATTCTAGTTCTAGCAAATAATGCCGTATTCACAAAACGCGTACTCGCCCTAATCTAACCTGACTTACTTTGAATAGAGCAAAACGTGTCTATCGTGTGTTTCGAGGTCATTGCCTACAAAATTATGTATTTGTTTTGTTTTTGCAAATTCAAGGGCGTTCGTATTTCTATTACTGTTTGTCAACGGTAGCTGGACGGAGGCGAAATCTGTTGTTATGTAGTTCATTTGTTTGGCTTATCAAAGCGAGTAAATCACAATTAAATCGGTGGAGAGTCTGGTGCTATTGTTGACGAGGTTCTCGACCTCTGCGTGTGCGCCGCGTCGCATATTCAACAGGCCGCATTTTTTTTAAATATTGAAGCGTCTTGGCCTTGATGGGTTAGGCCTATGCTAATTAAGCGGTAGGTTATGACGCCCACCTGGTGAGTCCTATTTATGGTCATTTACGTCTGGGGTCTTGCTGTACTCGCTGTACGGGCGTAATTAAGTGCAGTTTGCAATCTTGAGTGAATGTCTGCGGTTTTAACGCGCTGTTTGCTCGTATGTCGTATGTCCGTCGCCACATTCTCTGTTCTAAATCTGTTTGCAGGCCATTTTGGTCTTGACATTGAACGAAACGCGCCTTGAGTCGCGATTCGCTGATGTTTAGAATTGAATGATGCTGTATGCACCCATTTCGTCCGCACATGACGAAAGATTCTTTTAATCATTTTTGTCACGCGGTAATTGAAACGCCTCAACAGTTCCTTTGTTCAGAAATTCGCATAGCGTACTTCACATCATGATTATATCAGTTTATATAGAACGGTTCACTTCCGGGCAAAGGTCTCTCCATTTGGAATAATCGCTACATTTGGCAAGCGCGTTGGCAATAAAGCTGCTGCAATCAGAGATGGGCATTGGGTTAAAACCCAATCAACCTGACTCGGTTTTAACCAAGGTCTTACCCAAAAGCCGGGTTTTAACCTATTTCTGCCCAAAATCGTGGGCGAAAATCATTATACGCGCAAAACTACGGACTTTGGTATAATTAATTCCAAATTAATATTCCATACTTATTAGAAATTTTCATGTAAAAACTTTTTCATGCAAAGACGAATAAGCTCCGATGCCCTAAGCTGCTCAATACCCTCGGAATTTTATTGACTCTCACTTTCTACTATGGGTCCACATTTCGATTCGATTTTTATGACAATCGATTCAAGTGTAAGTTTACGATCTAACGATTTTTATATCGATAATTTCAATGCGATGTTCAAGCGAATGCATTCAATAAAAAGGCAAAATATTTAAGCAAGCAATAAACATTTTGTAATAATATCATTCATTACATTTGAACAAAACTCGATTTACAAATATTTAACCCAATTTAAACCCGGCGGTACAAAAGCGCGGGGTTAAAAACCGGGCGCTTATCCTTCACTGCGGCAATAATATACGATGTGAGAGAGACTGCTGTCTATGTCCTGGATTTACCGCTTCTACTAATTTTCTATGATAGTGTGATGTATCAACATATATAGATCTCACTGCTATTCAAGTAGAGGGTTTAGGCCATGGCCTTTCTGGTCCAATACGGATTGGTGACGCTACAGGTCATCGAAGGATTGTACCGCATCGGATATGTGTGTCCTAGTATTGATTTTTCATCATGTCCACTGTAAAAAAACGGTTATTTTCATAATACACTGAATAGATTATGTTTATATCCTATGATCATCAAGGTATGTTTTGTGTTGCTAAGGTGATGTACAGACGGCAGAATATAAAACTGCACTTGACAGATCTTGTTCCGTTGCTCTTGAGGCGATATTCGAACAAAAGTTATAGCTTGAATGCTGTTGATAATACCGCCTTCAATCAGGCGTAGATACCGACTGATATGTGTGAATTGTATACCATTAAAAATATATTAATATTACTAAAAAAAAAATTAAATAGCGTTTGTGTATATATACGCCGTAAAGCGATATTGTCGTATCTCGAAAAATAGGACTTTAAACCAGGGCCGAAAAACTATATCAAAAAATTATTTCTCTTTAATTTAAATTAGTAGAAAATCAATTTTAAAGTATGAGTATATACATCATTCCTTATTATTTTACTCAAACATTAAATTCATTCCGAAACAAGCCGAGTTAAAAAGAATTTCACAGCAAAATAACCAGGGATGTTACGGATTTCAACCCATCAATCAAAAGTTAACCATCATGTATCTGTAGAAGACGTGGCGGACGAAGATCAAACTGTAGTCGTCATAGCGGTACATCAATACAACTACATTTTGTTTTTTGTGAAATATCACGTAAAACACTTTACAAATACAAATTGAGTAAATCGATAATGCTGCAACGATTTTTTTAAACTATATTTTAAACAGAAAATATAATAATTATGTTAATGTAAAAAGCTAATCAATTCTACTCAGCGGTGCTATTCGAGATCAAAAATGTAGACAAGTAAACAAACAACTGTCAATGCTTAGGGTGATATCCGATCGTAAAAAAAAATGCAGGTTCATTTTAATAAGTCTGTTAGCACAAGCTGTCCATAAGGATATTTATAAATTACTGTTATAATGCAGGAGGAATTATCATCCTTACTTAAAAAGGATCATCTAATTATGTAAGTAATGCCAATTTCGAAAATTCTGCCATATTATATTTTGTAAATCGAATTTTTATTCGCAATTACATTGTATAAAACAAATCGAGGCATAGTATTTAACCACAGACCAATTTTAACGGTTTCATTTGAAAGTTTCCGATTGGGTACTATATACGAGAGACAATACTACCCTATACCCTTTTATCAAAATTTATCTATCTATACAAATTTATGTATCTTTGTTGTGTATTAGCTAAATCAGAATATTTATACCCACCAAAGTACGTCACAAAACTTTTTTGGAAATACAGATTTTTAGTCGCCGCATAAGTATTTGTTCAATGAAAATAGTCAATAGTAAAAAAAATCGCTAGACATAACTTTACATGAGATCTCACGCCTTTTTAAAGCGAAAGTGCCACGAGACTTG